CTTAATGTTAATAATTAGAGCCAGAAAATCGTATATAGACCAATCATTATAATAATCAATTAAACCAAGCTTGTTATCGCTGCTTGTAAGTGGTAGTGAAGGAAACCAAAGTCATAATTTCGAGTATGCTACAACGCACGACATGTATGTAGCCTTACGATGCTTTCACAATCATCGAGCGCAGGAAAAAGCCTAATGTGCTCCTGAGATGAAATAAATAATCCCTCTATTGCGTTTGAAGGGCTTGGGCGCTGAGATGGGGGCTGGGGGATGCCAAGAAAAGTTTAGTTACCTCTGGCTGCATCTAGTGTTTGCTCCTTGTTATAACGCTGGGCGACAAAGGTTTTGGCTGCTACTATAGAACAAGACATAAAGGTTTTGGTACCTACATAACCTGCTGAGTCCAAACAATTCTACATCTACTTGAGTGATTGGTCTTTACTCGATATTTTATAATTTCACACTCATACGATAAAGCTAATGACATTATTAGTCAGTGCAAACAGCTGTTATAATTATTTTAGTGAAAAATAAAGATCTGATTTCGTGGTGGTACATTTTGTTACTAAATCATATGACGATACAAATAGGTGGCAAAACAATTTATAAAATCAATTTTCAAACGTTATCATATTCATTTATTCAAGGAATAAACACTGGAATAAACTGTATGTAATTATACAAGAAACTGATTAGACAAATAATGTAGACGAGGAAAGATACAAATGGCGAAAGTGTTGAAATAGGGATGGTAGTGTTTAGAATCAGGATTGTAGTACAAACATTTATTATAATGTTTATGGCTACAGGAGCGGATGCAATTTAGTTTCAAGGAGTTGTATTTCTTTTTATTATTGTTCTCACTAAAATAAATCTTTTAGTACAGGTGCAGTGAACAGGTTAATCAATGCAATAATGAATAGACTGGCATTATTACCCAATACAGAAATTACTTATCCAGCTAGTAGGTTTCATGCGTGTTTAAAAGTTATGAATGGATGAATAGTCACCTCCACTCCGAAGTTCTGCCTTCCAGTGTAAAGTCTTTAATAATATTTGCTATGATTAGATACCAATAGATGCAAAACACATTTTTACTTTGAACAACTTGTTATAGTCTTTGACCTTTCTGTATCTCTCTTTATTATTTCTTTCTATCTTATTAGTGCATTCTAAAAAGTTATTTTCTAAACCCGAAAGATGTTCAGATACTTTAGTTGTTATACTTTCAGTATTGTGCAAAGGTTCTTAGTATGTTTAGTCGAATATTTTACCATGCCCTTTGTTTTTATATCCTCCTTCTCATTGCCCTGTATTTTAACGTCTGATTTCATTGTCAATCTTTGAATTAACCACTGTACCAGATTTTAACGTCTGATTTCATCGTCAGTATTTGAATTAACCACTGTCCCAGGATTTTAACGTCTGAATTCATCGTCAGTCTTTGAATTAACCGCTGTCCCAGGATTTTCATAAGAGCTTTCGTCTAAATACATGGTGTGCTGCTTGGCGACTGATATCATTACTTCCGTTAATCAGGATCAAAGTAATAAAATGAAGTACATGAAATAATACGATCAATAAATAAATCTCCCACGTCCTCAGGTCTAGTGAACTTCAGCCATCTCTTATTGCCTGATAAAACATACGTGAATAAGTTGAAATTGTCATTTATTGTGGTATCATTATTTTCTTTATTTGATCACACCTTCTTGTTTTTATTTCCCCACCTTTTAATATATGCCCTTTATACAAGTACTGCATTAATCGGTTTTGTTGAACTCCTTTATGCCGTTAAGTTTGTTATATCTAATATATTCTTTACTTGCATTTATTATTGTTATCATCTTTTATAGTTTTTTTCAAACATTTTTATACTACTAAAATTGTACCATGTAACTAATAAAATTATAGCAGTGTAATTTTTCAAGATTAATTTAAGATATGTTCAAATTGATAGAAACTAGTAAAATCACGCCTTGAATAACTTGACCCATGATTTGAAGAAATTATATGAATAACTTGAACGAATCTTAGAATCATACTCACGTAGGTAAGCTTTGTGAATTTATTGCAAATTATTTGGAAGGTGTAAACAAAAAGAAAAGGCTACTGAGAGTAAATATATAAAGAAATTGTATGTATCTTAAATCACCAGAAAACTTAATTTCATGTAAGAAAGAGATCAACGTAGAACTGAACTTTGACAACAACCTGGAAAACGTTCGCACGAACTTTACAAAAACAAAGCAAAAAAGTTAAAGGATGAGAAATAAGCACATCAGAGACTGAGACTCGAAGAGAAAAAAAAGGAAAGCAGAGCAATAACGAAAACTAATTCAAGCAAAACATGTTATTTGATAGGTTGTTGTTTTTGTTAATGTTATATTTGTGTTTTATAAAACAAGACTAATCATCAGTGATATAAGAAACTTTTATAACTGCTAATAACCATCGAAAGGTAAAAGTTCATGAAAATCAGATTCCAGATATGATGAAAAGATACAGATGTAAAAATGTTATAGTAAAATTGGCAAGTGAAACGAACACAAATTCAGCTCTTTTATTTTACAGTATGTACTAGAAGTGGATATTTGCATTAAATTTTTAGATTCAACGTCTAAAAGAAGTAAGGTATAAAAGAAGTAAAATTTATGTTTTTTCAACTTCTTTGCGCCAGTTAAAACAGTCACGTGAACTAAAAAAGGAAAAATAACCAGCTTACCTGATTAACTGGATATATCTGATTTTGTGTGCGGCCGTGAATTACTGGATATGCCAAGTATAATAAAAGAGTTAATTCAATAGAATGAATTACGAGAAATAATTTAACTGCTGTACAGATTTCAAGATAAGCGTGAACTTTGAAGTCATTCCTAGATGCTTAAATGACCATGTGGCAAAATGGTGGCCTCGCTTAAGGGTGCAATTGAATTTTATGCCCTATAATCTGCCTAATATAAAATTTCATACAAAATAAGACACACGTCAAAAAGCACATGATGATCACAGTGAAAATGCAAGCCCTTTCACTGAGTGATAATTTGGAAATCACGTGTACCTAATAGCTTGATGCAATATGCAATTTAAAATAGCTTAAATGCACGCATTTTTTTCAAATAGAATTCTAATTTCATCGAACCGATGTGTTTACTGCTAGTGGTGGCTTGCTCTGCTTCTTAGCCGATTAATGGTATTTCACTGGCTATATACTGTGAAGTGACTACTAGAAGTGTATACGCCTCACAAACATTTCAAGAAGAACACAAGCCTGAATTACCTAATTCACGAATATAACCATATCTTTAATTATTAAACTATAATAGCTCAAAAGGTCACATCATAGTCTTAAGAAATTTGCCAGGGGCTAATTTACATCTCTGCCCCATGCCATCTAAAGCCGACCAATGTTCAAAACCAACAAGACGCTTTTTTTTGTTTTCTTAAGGTGATATCTTACTTTAAATTTGGAGGAGAATTATTTAACTGTTTACATTTTGTGTTTGAATAATCACAAAACACAACAAAGCATAAATGGTAAAGCACAGATATCGTGCTGGATTTAGTAAGAATCTATTACTTCAATCTGCTGAAAAATTTGGTATTTTCATTTGTAGCAGCAAATATCATCCATGTCCATCTAACACTATGTCTAAGTTGTCTCCGTATATTTAAATCAGAGTACAAATACAAAGGGTGCCACAATTGTATCCAACATTACATACTTAAGACAACGTGCAGAGCAACACGAAAAGGAACTATTTTAGGTTTTTGAACGTCAACGAAATAAAGAATAAACTGATTAAATAGAGACAACATTACAGAGGTGTAAAGAAAGTTCAAATACCGTACAAGATTGTTTTGCTATCTTTACTCATTAACTCGCTGAGATTAACACAAATACAGCATCAGGTGGTATGAAACGCGTTACAAGAAAAACAGAATCCAAAAATACATTGCGTAAGACATTTCATACAAATCTTGCTATCAGAAGCCGGCTACGTGAGTGGCAATCCACACAGAAAATTCCATTGCTTCTATGTTGTGTTGGATTTATAAACAGTCAGTTGCAAAAGATACAGCCAGAAAGCACTGTCATTTTATTGGTTGATATCGTGGCGATACGAATAATACATGTGACCTGTGATTGAGAACACAATAATATATTCCAGTCGTATTTCATAATATCAGGGGCTACCACCACGTCGCATATTGAAAAAGTTTGGAAAATTATAAAAGCACATCATGAGAACATGCTTCCAGTCTGCGGAAGAAAAATAAATGTAATATTAAATAAGCCTATATATATGTCGTGTTAGCCGTGCTTGAGGTTTTTTTTCTCTTTTTTTTTCTTTTTTTTTTACATTTTCTGACATGAATTTCATTACAATAAGATAAAGAAGAAATATAGCGGAGAGGACTTGCTGTTGCTCACGGACACGGACTCGCTGGATTATCAAATTAGGACAGAAAATAATTTCGACGACCTATTTGCTATGCCAGACAAGTTTGATTTTTCTAAGAGCTCTAGAAAAGAAAGCAATCCGCTTAGCAAGTACTATAACGCCAGCAAGAAACAAATTGAATGGAAATTCAAGGAGGGACAAATTGCAGAGATCTGAAAGGTCATTGCACTAAGATATAAAATGTAGTGGCTGAAACTGGATGAGAATATGGAGAAGCGTGCAAAGACACCAAATAAATGTAAGAAGAATTGTTATCAGGCGGCAGCGCATGCTCTTGAGAAGCAATATGTGTGTGTGTGTGTGATTTAGATTTTTTGTTGCTTTAACAATTTTTCAGTCATATAAGCTACGATGTGTCTGCAGTGTGACAGCTTATAGTGATGTCTAGCACTGGGCATCATGCCGCAGACATGTGGCATGATGTCAAACCAAGTCATATTATCCTAACACCAGGCCGACCTGTCCTAACACAGACCTCTTAATGCTGAGCGCCAAGCGAGGCAGCTGTTAGTACCATTTTTAATGTCTTTGGTATGACTCGGGCGGGGTTCGAACCCACGACCTCCCGCGTTCGAGGCGAACGCTCAAACTACTAGGCCACCGGAGCGGTGAGAAGCAGTATGTAATGATGAATACTTGTCTCCATAAGTACAATAACGCTCAGTAAAAATGGTCTATCTGGCTACGAAGATGTCCAAAAGAATGTCAGCACATTGGCTCAGAGCTACTATAGGAAAAACCCATCAGATGTTATGACGCGAGTTCAACATAATCTAATCCACCCAAGACTAAGCTGAACAGAATGTACAAAATACATTTAAAAATAGTATATGACACGCTTAAGCAAAGTGAAAAGTATAAGAATTGCTGTTAATATTTAGGATACAATGTGGAGATTAATCTGTCTTGTCTCCTGTTTGTTTGTTTTTTTTTTTCACCAAATTTCGTCGCCCATACAGATAGTTGAATATTAAATTTTACCCGCGTCATCAATATTAGTCAGTTTACTATTTTCCTGTAATATTACTACCTCGAGATTTCCTAGCCTAGCATTCGCTTTATTACCATCTAAGTTGACTACTATGAGAACTTCTGCCGTGTTAACAAGAATACATTTGTATACAATTTTATGCGACATCATTGTTGTTAGTGCTCTGCCTGATATAGAGACTCAAACTATGATATAACAAAGTATGTTGGGCCTAGTTACGTCAGGATGATTATGACTGACGTTTTATTTCACCAAACTCACTCGACTCGTAGCTTTTGTAGATGGGGTGTGCTCTCGATGCTATTAGTGTACATTCAAGTCTAGACAAACAATAAGAACAAACAAAAAAAATCACTTGGATGATTCCTCACAAGAAAAGTATACCAATAGCCACTTATTGAATAATACCACCCTCCTTGTATTACGGAGCAAAAAAGAAAATTTTAATAAAATGTCAGCGCCTTAAGAATACTCTGTTCGGAACATAGAAGCAAACAAATCTTATTCTTTACAGTTGGGTTTGGTTGTGCGGACTAGTCGAGCTGTCTTTTTATCTTTTCCTACTGCGCCGTGCAAACTGTTTGTTTGCCTACGGATCGCCTCTAAGATATGGATGTTGTTTTTCAATTTATCGCCTTAGAGATGATCAATATTTAAATCGTCTAGAGATGATCAATAATTCAATCATATAGAAAAGATCAATAATTGCATAATCTAGAGAAGATCAATAATTCCATCATCTAGAGAAGATCAACACTTCCATCTTTTGGTATGCCACAAACACATAGCATTTTTCATAGTCTTAAGCATGAGACTGCAATCAGGAAGTAGCCATTGTTGTAAGGATTCTCGGTGAGAATTTGATGGCGTAGAATGTGTCCGAGTCTCTGCTCTCGCTTGCCTCATACAGATGGTAGACTGGGTGTTCTCTCCACACCACAAAATGCAAGTGTCGTCCTCTGTATGAATATTATTTTCAAGAACTGATATAAGCAATATAACATGTCATCTTTTTGCAGGTAGGCAATATGAGCACAAACATATTGGCAAAAATTATGCTTCCTCAGCAGGTAAGTATATTTTCGATATCGATAATGTAGTCACCATGTCGGCTTCAGCGGCTAGATCTTTGTCCCAATCCTTCATACTTGCTGCGTCCACCAAAACAGAAGTTTGGCTGTACCTCAGAATTCCAGTTGGATTTGAACACGATTGCCACACGCACGCACGCACGCACGAGCACGCACGCACGCACGCACACACACACACACATACATACATACATACATACATACATACATACATACATACATACATACATACATACATACATACATACATACATACATACATACATACATTATTTTCAGTTCAGTTTGTGATGCCAGTCTATTTTTAAAACATTTTTGCTCTCTTATTTTGTTGTCATACAAGAGTTAGAGTTTGGTATTATTTATATTGATTTCAAGTACCGAATAATGCTTGTTCTTTAGAATATGAGCATTGTGGTGTGGTTACCTGTGTGTATTTCGGCAATAGTGTACAGTGATTAGTGAGGCATTGGTGTGTATTTCGGCAATAGTGTACAGTGATTAGTGAGGCATTGGTGTGTATTTCGGCGATAGTGTACAGTGATTAGTGAAGCATTGGTGTGTATTTCGGCAATAGTGTACAGTGATTAGTGAGGCATTGGTGCTGATACAGAAATGAATTAAGTGGTCCATCGCACTTCGCTTTGTTTACGGTCCTCTCCGTCAAAGAAATGCCAGATAACTTACGACAAGCACTTTACCATGTATTCATCCTTGAAGGTACTATAGATTAAAATATAACTTATGATGATTTGGACACTGGAAAATTCAATACTGAGAAACAAATGCAGAGGATATATAGGAAAAATAATCGCGACTTTAGTCCACGAAGTGCATAGGGAAGGTAACTATAGAAGCTCTTATCACCGAAAGGTATGGGGACATCAGCTGTCAAAATATTATAAAGTAACAATCTGAGGAGATGACAGAGGTTCGATATTGAGTCGGGAATCTGAGACTAGGCAGGCCATATTTTGCAGCTGAGACTGAATAAAAACAATTTATTACAGCTCCTTAGCCATTATAAATACTAGAGCAAGTGCCAGAGACTATAAGATTAGACTCGCGGGAACGGCTAAAGTCAGTACTGAAAATAAAGCCGACTGTTTTTATACGCTGCCAGACAAAAGTATTGATTTATGAAGGGTCAATTAAAAAGGTGTACAAGATAAAGTAAGGAGAATAAATGTGGCCGACTTTTAAAAAAAACCAACGTTATTATTGTTTTTTTTTTCTCCAGTCTTCTTCAGCAGTCTTCAGAAATCTATTGAATGCTGATAAATCGGTTTTGTGTCGACACAGCTGCCACATAAATCTATCAAGGAAAATTTAATATTTTATTCGATAAATGAAAAATTAGATCTCCTAATCATCAGCGAGTAATCCAGAATCGGCAACATATATTCCGGAATCGGCCACATATACTGTTATGTTTTACGTTATAAAAATAAAAATTTGTATGAAAAGCTGTATCAGAGCGGATTTTGTTAAAATGTTATAATTCTATGGCTGGAATATTAAAGGAATAATACAAAGTAGTATTATAAGAATATCTAAGATGAATAAACATAACCTTTCTTCGCGCAAAACTAACAAGCAAAGGTGAGTAAACAAAATACGAAGCCAGTAAAAAAGACGTATAGAAACTGAACTGCAGGATAAATAAATAAGACATTAGCTGGTCTTGATTTCTATGCTAGTGTGAATTATAATAATGATGAAAAAATGTACAGTAATCTAGCGATGTTCACGTTTGATCTTTAAGGTAATAGTTGTTGCTTTTCAATGTATATGTACATCTATTTGCTTTTCAATGTACTCGTACGTCTAGTTGCTTTTCAATGTACTCGTACATCTAGTTGCCTTTTAATGTACCCGTATGTCTACACGCGTCATGTAATTTACAACAATCTACAGAAATGATGCAAAATAATTAAAAAATATACAGGAATATAATAACAATATGTTTGAGAAATTCAGGTAAAATAATCGATCAAATAAATTGAAGCATAAAATTATTTAATAATCGATGAGAAACAAAAACTAATTTTCCTGCTTTGTAAATACATAACATATTGTGATCAGTGCGAAAAAGTGTTTGATGGAGTTTGTAAAGATGAACTAAATTTATTTTATCAAAAAATAATAGAGTAAGAGATAATGCAACTTCTTAGTACAGACATGTGCAATATCTCTTATACTTATATATACATACATACATATATACAGACATGTATGTATGTATATATATATATATATATATATATATATATATATATATATATATATATATATATACATACATACATACATATAGACAGACCTGTGCAATATCTCTTATACTTATATATATATATATATATATATATATATATATATATATATACATATATACAGTCATGTGCAATATCTCTTATACTTATATATATATATATATATATATATATATATATATATGTAGATATAGATATATATATATATATATATATATCTATATATATATATCTATATATATATATATATATATATATCTATATATATATATATATATATATATATATATATATATATATATATATATATATATATATATATATATATATAAAATCTTTACACGGATTTGTTTCTCCAGTCTGCATATGTGTTACTAATGAAGGGATGGTTGTTTCATTCCTTTAACGGATTGATACAAATACAATTTATGGATGGGGTATCTGTAAAAAATGCCAAAGAACGATTCAACAAACTTCAGAACTAAACATTATCAAAAAAGATATTTTAAAGATTATGAGTTTCTTTGGAAGGATTTTACTTCCATGTATAATGTTTTCCGGAATTCAGAGAAGAACCTTTGTGTCTTGGCAATCTTTGAGTCAAGATTGGTAACAGACGTTAAGCTCAAATTTCGATTATCACTTATTCTAATTGCAATCAATGCCAGATATGGCTTTCATGAGAGAATGAAAAAAAGGGAATGTGAATGGATTATTTTCTGATCCATTATTATGGTATGAATTTTGAACATAAGGTTCTTATCATTTCCCAATTTATAGATGGAACGACTCTCAGACCGAAAGACTGAACCAAACTAGGTACATTTGTGATCTCTATTGATGGTTACTCGCCGCAGTTTACTCATTTAAGATCTTCGATGCTAGCGTACGTTTCGATAAATTGATTATCGAAGATAAACAGATTTCCTTTGATTGCAATCAGATTCGCTACAGACTAATTTTATATAATAAAAGATACGTATAATTACTAGAAGAATTACACATCAGAGATGATGCATCACAGGCTAAAGGAAAATAAAAAGAGAAAATATCCTTCGTAATTTTAAATCGATCCGACGTCGAAATTAAGGGGACATATTACAAAAATAATGATCAAATATCAAAATCAACACCGTATGTATATTATCCTTACAATCAATGGATGTGGTAGTTCCGGTAAAACAAAACGTGCGATTGAACTATTTAATAATTGTTGAGATATGGTAGTTTTGACACCAACACATAGATTCGC